GGGAGGGAGGAGACGGAGGGGAATGTGGTGAGGGGCAAAGTGTGTAACTAAACCGGAGTGTGTGATATCTTAGGAATGAACGGGATCTCCTGATATCAGTTACTGAGGGTGCCAAGCCCTGGAATGGAAGCATATCTCACACCAACACAGCAGGAAAACATATGAGCTGCTGCAGATATGGCTGAGACACACAGACCCAGACCAAGTATACACACACACACACACACACACACACACACACACACACACACACACCATGATTTAAGTTGGAGCGCTGTGGAATCTGTTGCTGATTCAACGTTGGTCTTTTTGAGAAAGTACTAAATTAGGCGTCTCTGTCAAAAGAAGAAAACTATGGAGAATATTCTCAACACAATATGGATTTTCAGGAGGTAAAACATAGGTGGAGGTTTTCACCGTGAGAACACAGATGAATTTTAACCTGCAATCCGAAGCCAATATACAGACAAAAAGCCACACTAACATCTCTCCTTTGAACACACACTTCTTTTCCTACAACCACTTTCTCCATCGGCTTACGTCTTGTTGAAAAGTAAAGGGTCACTTCTCACCACTGACCGTGTACGCATGTAAAACCCCATGTCCTGCTTTGATCTCACAGGTGAGAGGTCAAATGACATCACCATCTGTGTCTGCGCATCGCTGCCACGCCTGTGCTCCAGCGAGGAATCACATTTCTCAAGTCAGGACATGGAGGAAAAGATGGGAAACTGGAATAGAAGGGCACCGGGAAGGGGTTTGTCCTTTGACTCACACAGGGAGTAATTTGCCTTTCCCAGTATGCAGTTTTATATTCTCAAGAACATGTGTGATGCAATATTTCAGGGCCAAATAATGGTTTGAAAGCATAAGAACACCAAGGACAAGGGATGCAGAGAGAAGAGAGGAAGGATTCTTGCCAGATGAAATGAATTAATTCATAGAGACATTAAAGCATCAACAGCAATAGTCACAATGTATTGCACCAGTGTAGTTGAGCCTCATAAAGAAGGAGTAATACTAAAGCTGTGGTTTTCACTGGAGTGTTATCAAATGGTCTTTCTGTGAGAGTACAGCAGCAGATTGCATTCTATCTCAGCCAAGCTAAAGTTCTTTTGTCACAGTGGAAATCTAATTAAGAATAGTGAGAGAGGGAGTCATGAGAGAAAGTAGAGGAGGTGTGTGTTGGGGGGACGGATGAGAAAAGAAATGTTAAAAAGCTTAGCTATGCTGCTCCTTGTAATGGATTAAGAGCCAATGCAAAAGCCGCTGGAAGCAAAGCATCATGGGGGAAAGGGGTGGGTGGTGGGTGGGGGATTCGAGGGTATGACTGCATGTAGAAGCACGCTGTCCCGCTCACCAAGGGTTAGGAAAGAGATCAGTGCCAGGGTGAAAAAATTATTTTGCATCAATCATTTCTAATCATTTAAGTAACATCACAGCACAACTCCACCTATAGCCAGTTCAAGCAAGCTTTAATATTTGTAGTTTGAACTCCTCCGATCAGGTAAATGTTTCCTCAAAAAGAAAAACAATCTCAAGTGCACATTAGGTGATGCCTTTGTATATCAGGAAGCAGAAAACTTCAAGCATGTGGCAGCTACATGTCTGACTAAGCTGGTAGCAGGGACATATTACACTGCTCGTAAATGCCTTCCCTGCCCTGAAAGATTCGTGCAACATCATCTGCTTTCAGACATGCACTGAAGGCCAAACATTTTCCTGAAATGATCTGGATGGTCTTTATGTGAGAGCTTAAAAGTCCCATGTGAGAATACAGCAGAAAGATCAAATGTCGGATTGTAGATGATAAAACAATCAAGCAGACATGAAATGGGAAAAATACAAAAATCTTAGGATAAGAAATAGGTGCCAAAGACATAGGACACTGGCAAAGATATCAGCTTGTACAGACAATGAGATTTGAGAGCGTTTTGGTGATAAGGACCAGCACAGTAAACCAAAACACAGTGCTTTCCGCAGCTGTGTTTACAAGTCATGCCCCGCCTCCTGCATGCTCTACCTAGGCTCCAACCTAGTCAACCTGTCTGAATGTTTCGGAGATTTTTGCTGCTGTTATGAAACAACATTCTGCTGCATTAATCATATGCAAAAGACAAACTCCCAACAAAATTGAGTCAGAACACTTTCGTGTCTCCTCTGAAAACAGGAAAAAAGGCAGAATCACACTGAGAGGGAGATGGGTAATCACAGACGGCATCTCCACTTACTGTTTCTGCATGTACTGACTAATGAAGCACTCTTCTCTGTCACATGTAGCATGCTGCTCCCTTTATCACTTTTAGAAACACTTTGACAGTGAACCCTTGTGCAGTGGCCATGAACTGCATCAACTCTGATTGGTTCCTTGGGATCAATTTGAATTTATATCCAGATTCTTCCAAAGGTCAAAAGTCCCTTCAGGTCTGATTAAAATCAAGCCTTCCTTTTTATCCCCACTTTAGAAAATCTCCATCTGGATTGCAGACAACTAAGGCTTATTAAAACACAGGCCAGTCAAGTGCTGGTAAATTTTGGCGACAGATGGGCCTGACAGTCAGCTCGGGCTGTGAGGGAGGGATGAAGCTGCAGTACACTGAAATGCTGCACCTCTCTGATTCAGTAACACTCAATGCAGTCAAAAGAAACTGACAGATACTCATCATTTGGAAAACAGAGGGAAAACTCCAAAGGTTTTAAGTGAAATCTAACAAGCACAGATAAGAGCTACTTCAGTGAGAACACATAGCCCTCAGCAATCAAATCACTGAGCTACCGTTGCACACACACATCCACACAAGTTGAGGGGAAGTGAGAACGAGGACAGACTGAACAGTGTTGTGGCTAGCAGAGTGTGTTAAGTGAGTGTATCTCAGGAGTTATCAGGGCATTCTTGTGTTTCAGGGGAGGGCTTGAGAAACACTCTCAGGCCTTCTGCTCACCAGAATAAAAGCACCTGTGCAAGAAATGCATGGGCTCAACATCCATATAAAAGGATGCCAAGAAAATAATCTGCATCCGATGGTGATTTCCTCACCTCTAGCTAAGGACCCTTCCAAAGGAGACATTCTGAGAGAAACAAGCTTCAAATGGTGACAGAGAAAAGGTGAAAACACAATAAACACGCCATTAAACTTAATGCTCCACAAGAAAAATGTGTGTGTGTGTGTGTGTTGGGGGGGGGCACTGCTGTTGTTCAATCTAAGTGTGCATTTGTTCAATTGTGCATGAGCACGTGCTCACATGTTTGCATGTGTATGTGTGTGCACATGGCTACAACTAATGATGTCCACTCCCCTTTGGGACTATCATGAGGTCACTGTTGTCAAGGATACTTGAAGCACTGTCAGCCGTTATTGACGAACATGAATGCAGAGGCCCTAAATGAGGGCCATAACTATTGTGGTCAGTAACTGCCTCTTCAGATGCTCCACAGGTCATCTTTAACAACTATGAGAGGCATTTAGAAGAGGACAGTCTGTCTGTAATCCAAGACAAAGGGAAGCCACAAGTACTTCAGCAAAAGTAGACCTCCTGTTAGAGGTAAAAGGAGAGACATCTGGTGAAAGCCGACCACGGCTTGATGAACCACCGTGTGTCACATTAACCACGAGTGTTAAGACTAGCGAAGGAACCGCTGCATTATGCCCATCAATGTTTCTGTCACTAGCCCAGAGACACTGGAGAAAATGATCACAGAAAGATGTTCAAGTTTCCAAGAATGGGAAAGACAAAAAAGATATTGCATGCAAAGTCATAAACAATTTATATCCAGAGCCATAAAATGACCACAGGTTTGACTAGGCCTGGGAATGTGAGTTTGCCGTGGTGCAGACATGTCCACAGCAGCTCATTTGTATTCCTGATTTATGTGCGATATGCTGGAATTCTTACGCTTGGAGAGATCATCAGATAACACAGAGAGCAGGAGGCTTTTTGCCCAATTTCGGGCTTAATGTGCTTCAAGAGAGAAAAACCAATACAGACATAAGGACAGACAAGAGAGAGAGAGAGAGACAGAAAGAAAGGTTGGGCAAGTAGCTGTCAGCATGTGACAGGGTAGTCTGTCAGGGTATCGGATTTATCCTGCCCGCCTCCAACCGTCTGATTAATGCCACTTTGCTTACTTTCGTGTGTGTGTGTGTGTGTGTTTAACTGGACTGTAGCTGTTAACTTGCCAATTTAGGTGTGTGAATTTCCAAGTGTTTGCGTTTGTCTAATCTTTAACTTAAAAGAACAAAGTCTGCTTCTGTAGTGGGGGACGAAAAAGCAACTTAACAGAAATTCCTTGTGCATGACCTTGCACCATTAACTCACACGCCTTCAGATTCAAACCACTTGATAAAGAAACCTCTTCAAAACATAATTCTGGATTTAACAATTTGAAAAACCTTTGTAAGGCAAGGAAAGCAACATTAACGAGACATCTTGCCACAAGATGTTCATCAACCCACCTGCAGCGCACCTACAAAAAGCCAAAAATCTTCTGGCTCCTCAAAGAGTGCGGCCTATATGGGCTCGCGGGGGGGGTAAATCATGAGTGTGCATATGCTTGCACTTTAAGCATGTGTGAGTTTCTATATTTGTGACAGAAACCCACATATCTGCAACAACAAAGCGGCTCAGGTATGAGGGCACCCTGCTAATAGCACTTTTTATTACCCCAACCAACCACTTGCACATAATTCATTTATCACCCTAATGGCACAAAAGCAGCACAACCGGATCCTGCAGAGAGCCTCCAGCAAACACTGACTGCACATACCGTCAACAGCACAGCCGAAACCTGCCCTGTGTCTATTCAACAGAGAATTCTTCATCGACTCTGCAGTTAAATGATACACAACACGTGGTGACAAAACATAATGAGTCACCACATGTGACTTGCCATATTAACACACTCAATCACATTTTTTTTGCAGGTTCTGACACATGTACCTGACGTGAAAAAAAGGCACAGCTTGCACACAGGTTAACAGAAGAAAAAAACTGAACTCTACCTGAAACAGAGATGGTCATGGGGGCTTCCAGGGGCCTGTCATTGTCCAGGTCTCTGCTCAGCCTCAGATCTCCAGTGTCCTCATTCAGCAGCAGCAGACGGAGCTCATTTCCGGACTCAAACTTGTACCGTAGCTTATCCGATACATCCGGGTCATGGGCTGGTACCTTTCCTATTATTCCTGATGGAAAACTGTTAGACTTGTTGGTGACATAGTTATTGAAAATGATCTCAAAGTTCTGCAGCACAGGCTGATTGTCATTCATGTCTACCAGACGGATGTGAACAGTGGCCCTGCTCACTAATGGTGCTGAGGTGGCCTGGACCACTATGACATATTCTGTTTTGGTTTCATAATCCAAATCTGTAAGTGCAACAAGGTCACCATTAAAAATGTCCAGTTGGAAAACTTCAGGGATATTTCCCTCTACGATCTGATACATGATCTGAGCATTGGGGCCTTCATCCGGATCTGCAGCAGTTATTCGGGCCACGACGGACCCAACCGGGCTGTTCTCCTCCACATCAATAAAGAGTTCATCCTTGTCAAACACTGGGGGATTGTCATTGATGTCTTGCACTACAACATGAATCGAAACGGCTGCTTTCAGTGGTGGAACTCCCTTATCTACAGCAAAGGCCTTCAGATTATACACAGGAACGTTCTCCCTGTCCAGTTTGCGAGCTGTTCTGACGATACCAGAGTAAGGCTCTATGAAAAAATCCCCCTCTCCATCATCGCCACCCTGAAACGTGTAGCTCAACCTGCCATTCGACCCAGAGTCTCTGTCTGAAGCAGAGATCTGGAGAACACTGGTGTAGACAGGTGCATCTTCAAATACAGAACCCTGGTACATATCTCTGAGAAACTGAGGAGTATTATCATTTGCATCAAGGATGATAATCTCCACATAGGTGGTGTCAGATTTCTGAGGGATGCCATTGTCTCTAGCAATGATGGCTAACGTGTAGGAGGCCTGGTCTTCATAGTCAATCTCCATTTGTGTTGTGATGGCACCTGTATCTGGGTCAATTTTAAACTGAGGAACATTGTCTTCCATCACATAAGTGATGCGAGCATTTTCCCCCGTGTCCTCGTCCGTTGCACTGATTACCACCACAGTGGAGCCCACTGGTTTTTCTTCACTGAGCATCACCTGGTAGTTGGCGCTTTGGAAGACAGGCCGGTGTGTGTTGGCATCTGTCACGTTGATGAACACCTGAGCTGTGTCGTAGCGTGTTCCATCACTGGCGGTGACTGTCAGGACGTACTGGCGTTCCTGCTTGTAGTCCAAGGGGAGGGCTAAGGTGATGAGACCGCCACCGCTCTGGCTGGTGATGGCAAATCGGTTCCTGGTGTTGCCGCTGGAGATCTGATATGTGACGACGCTGTTTACATCTCTATCCACAGCTGTCACTGTCAACACGCTGGTCCCCACCACAGCGTCTTCATTGATTTTCAGTGAGTACATTTTCTCTGTAAACGTGGGCACATTGTCATTCACATCAAGCACCGTGATGCTGACGCTGGCGGAGGAGGACATCTGAGGCATCCCCTGATCTCTTGCCTCAACACCAAAGGTGTAGAAGTCGGTGGTCTCTCTGTCAAGTTCAACACTCACAGTGATCCAGCCTGTGCTATTATTGATGGTGAATGGAAAACCAGGTGTGGTGTCAGTGAGCCGGTATTCCAAACGAGCGTTCTCTCCTGAATCACTATCAATAGCTTGAATGTGGATCACAGAGTAACCAATGGCCACATTTTCCAACACAGTAGCTTGGAAAGGTGTGCTCACAAACATGGGGGCATTGTCATTCACATCCACCACTTGTACCACCACCATTCCTGTGCCATTTATCAGCGGAGGCCTCCCACCGTCCTGCGCCTTAATCCGCAAATTATACTCCCGAATCATTTCATAATCCAGAGGATTGATGACATCAATCACTCCAGTGGGGGAGTGAATATAGAATTGCCCTTTAACGTTCCCACTGATGATGCTGTAATGGACTTTGGCGTTGTTTCCCTCATCTTTGTCCGTAGCCTCTACCTGGATGACTTTTGTGTTGACTGCCACATTCTCTGGGACCTGTACCACATACCTCTTTTCACTGAACTGCGGGTAGTTGTCATTCTCATCCTCCACTGAAATGTTGAGAGTGGCGGTGGCACTGCGGGGGCCTGGGTCTTTGCCCTGGTCATTGGCCATCACGATCAGCTGGTACTGGGACCGGGTCTCTCTGTCAGGTCTCTCTCTGATCTTCACCAGGCCGTGGCGGAGGTCGATTTCAAAGACAGCGTTGACCCCTTCACCATTCACAATCTTATAAATCATGTTGGCGTTGGAGGGAGCGTCCCCATCAGTGGCCCTGATGGTCATCACTTCAAAACCCACTTCTACATTCTCCCGGATACTAACACGGTACTCAGTTTGCTCAAACACCGGGTTGTGATCGTTAGTGTCACTCACAGTGACATAGAGGAAGGAAGTGGCAGATCTTTTTGGGGTGCCATTGTCGGCCACTGTGACTTTGAAAACATGGATGTCTTTGACTTCTCTGTCTAACGGCTGGACAGTTGTTATGCTCCCTGTCTGAGAATCAATGTGGAAAAGGTCATTGGACCTGCTGTCATAAAAGGCTTCCATGCTGTACTCCAGCCGCCCTGCCTCTCCATCATCCGGGTCAGTGGCTTTCAGGGTGATTACGCGTGTTCCTGCAGGCTCATTCTCGGGCACGGACACCTGATAGTTGGGGAGCTGGAACTGGGGAGACGTGTTTACCTGTCTCTTCCCCCTGCGGCTCACTCTGCCAGACTTTTCCTGGACAGTCTCTGACAAGGACCCATGTGGTTTGGGCGCTTTAACAAGCGTCAGGCTCAGCCGCACGGAGAGTCTGCCGCCTGGGGAGCTGTGCAAGGCGCAGTGCAAGTTAACGTCCGGCTGTCCTCTGTGCCCAAGACACAAGTCCCTGGCCAAGAATAAATTCCCACCTCTGAACACTGCAACCAAGTCCCTCCCGACGCATTCAGTGTCCAAAAGGGCGATGTTGCGCGTAAAAGCAGGCAGATGTTCTGTTACATTCAACAGCACTTTACCTGCGGGCAAGCAGGAAGTTGCCTCCAGTTCGTGAAGGTGTTTTATGTGGATGTCTGGCTTACCTGAAGCTTTCCTTCTCTTGTATTTAATAGAACAGTCTCGGCCATGGACAAACACATTGAACTGTGTCAAAATGACGTCCCCAGATGTTGAGGAACCTGTTCTGAAATAAACAGGCGCAGGGTTCCTCGGTGTGTGCGCGCACTGAACTTCTCGGGACAGGCGGACGACCCCATCCTGCCTCCCCACTTGGAAAAGGCTCTGGGTAAATTTGTGGGATAAAGTCCTGTCAATCTTATAAGTCCATCCAGGTCCCAGAGACAAGTTTGCCAAGACGGTCCCGGGCTGTGAGGTCTCCGAAAGGCGCATCTCCAAACACCCCGCAAGCGGCACGTTGAGCAGGACACAAACCCACATCCAATACATCTGTGGCTCCATGCTCGTAAAGCTGCCAAAAAAAACCCCACTCAACTTCACCGAAACACCTCCACAAGCGCATTAACTCTCCCGACACCGCGCTTTACTTTTATCCCTCATGGTGAAGTTTCAGCGTGGGAAAAGACGCACGATATCCATAGTCCCTGCGTATCCAGGGCGCGCGGCGGCTGTGTTAACCCACACTGAGTTTAAAATGAGTACAAAATGGCTCCGTGGATCTTCCACTCCTCCTCCTCCTCCTCAGGAGCTTATTACCATAAACCTGCTGTGTTCCCCCTCTGGGACGCTTTCACGGGAGGGGTGGAGGGGTGTGTGTGGGGGGGCAACTTCTTTATTCTTTTTCTCATGGAGATTTAGGGAAGTGGCCGAATGCGCACAAGTGCATTGTTATTACAATAGGCTTAGAGTTGGAGGGGAAAAAAATTCTAATGGCTTCCAAACTCTTTATTAAAAAGACTTTAAAATAAGACATAAAAGTAGTTGAACTAAGACCTCAAGTCCAAAATCTTAGAAAATGGTAAACTTTTTTTCAGCACTGTGAATCACACCACTATGCACTTTACCCATTAAACTGTCACACCTTCAACCACACAAATATTTTCAGCCAAAAATAGGACTGAAAAAAAACGTATTAGTGACTTATTTCTTTTGCCATGTGTTGTAATGGGAAGATCTCATCATCATCATCATCATTATCATCATCATCACACAGTAAGTTAGACATGAAGAGGGTTTCTTCTAGTGGAGCTTAAGAAGTTATAGTGGAATGTATGCCGTGGTAATTTCTTCACTTTTTAGACATTTACTCTTTCTTTCTGTCTTGTAATCTTGTTGTTACATTGATTTTGATAATACAGCATTACATCATTGTTTAAAAAAAACATGTGTTGTTACATAAATTTAAAAAAAGTTTATTTCATATAGTTATTAGTGTCATATGAGCCTCTTTGTTCTTTGTATTCCAATCACATTTGTTTTTCTCCACAAACATAAAAAACGACCTTTTTGATGCTGAACAGAGACAGTTTTTAAAAAGTGTGATCTTTATCAGAAAGATAATACAATAAAGTCAAATGTCTCTTTGGCGTGACTGTTTTTTTGTTTAATGAAAACATGTTATTATGCAAAGCTATGCATATTAGAGAGTGACAGGTTCATCCTGGAGAGTAACCTTGTATAATAGCGTCCCCTTGTGGATAATAAAGTGCTAGATTTAGACCAGAATGTAGCTTTCAAATGATTCCTTTACTCACCCGACGACACCACTAGCAGCCCAGACTCTTGACACACAGCAGTTTGGGTCCATGGATTCATGCTGTTGACTCTAGATTCTGACTTCACCACCTGTAGCCTCAGCAGAAATACACATTCATCAGACCGGGCTTCTTTTTCAAGCTGCAACTGTCCAGTGTTGGTGAGTCCCTGTCTACAACATCAGACACGGTCTTCTGCTTTATCTCTGCATCCGCCACAAGGTTGGACATGTTGCTTGTTCTGCTATAATTTCTGTTCACCAAAGTTAACTGGATAACCACATGAACAAACAGAAGCACAGCTGTTCCTAATAAAGTGCTCAGCGATACTATCTTTAAGTATAAATGTCAACGAAAACAAGTAAACACAAACTTATTCGGTTTATTCAATGGTTCGTAAATGTTCAATTATTTACAGTTTTACCAGTGACAGCAACATCGCCACGGGAACAGAAAAGGCACTAGAGTTTTTTTTAAACAAGGAATCAATA